CTCTGGCCTCTTCTACTCCCACAACCTGTCCCTTTTCATCTTCCTAGGGAGTGAGCCAAAGGCCACCTCCACAGCCCATGCCCCCTGGATAAGAAGAGGCCCATAGGGCCCAGGGTAGTCCAGAACCACATCTGTGAATGGAGCTCGGCCATTAGACTGCTCAGGACAGACCTGAAGCCAGCAGGGCCATGAGCCTGGCTTGCCCCGCCACTGCCTACTGCCCTAGACCCAGTGCCCACATTGCCCCCAGCCTCTGTGCCGAACTCATGGCTGCCTGGGGCCCTGACTCAGCTGGTGGGAGGTCTCCTGGCCAGGTAAGAGCCTGGGTCTGAGCTGGGCACCTGGATCGAGCCCTGCCGCAGCATCTCCAGCTGAGCACCTGGCCTGGGGCTTCTCTGTAACCGGGGTGGTTTCAGTCCCCATCTCTCAGAAATTAAGGCTCACAAAAGATGGACAGAGGCCCAAGCCTAGGCTGGTCTGTGACAAGGGTGCAGACTGTGGTGGCGGGATTCTTGTCCTGCCTTTTGTCCTTGTCCCATCCCACTGGCCCCCGCTGCTCCACTCGGAAAACCGCCTGGAGCTATGTGCTCTGGGCTGGGGGCGGGCATGTCCTTAAACAATTGTCTGGGCTCATGGTTCTGGTGGTGGGAGGAGCAGCTGGCAGCGAGCAGATGCCCACTCTGCCCACATGTGCCCTGCTGGGGAGAAGCAGACTCAGGGCTCACGGCTCCTGGTCGCACCAGGGAAGTGTCCTGTGCTCCCTGGCCTGGTGCTTCCCAGGTGAGGGGGGGCTGGGAAGGTTTAGGGGCGGGCAGAGGAGGCCTCTCCTCACCCTGGCAGCATGCCCTCCCGCCCACCCCCTGGGCAGCGGCTGCCCTTTACTCCTGCTGCTGTTGCATACTGCATTCCTAGCATAGCCCAGAGAAGCTCTCCTCCTTCTCACTGGGGCAGGGGCAGATCTGGGGGCAGACAGGGGCACACAGAGTCAGCACACGGTGCTTTGCCAGGCCCACTGGGGCTTGCAATTCCTTACTGGGCCTGGCCTATGGCTCAGGTCTTGGCAGCGCCAAGGCGCCCCTCCACTCCCAACAAACTGCCCACCCTGCAGCAGTTGCTTGGTGTGTCCTCACCCTCGTCCTCACAGGTCGGCTTTAGCTGGGTGACCCTGAGCTGTACTTGCGCTATCCAAGCATTGAATTCCACAGCTGTAAAAGGAGGATTTGTTGTGAGGGTAGCCAAGGAAGCCCCCAGGTACCTGAAACTGGAGGCTCGATGGGCAACCTGGTTTCCCCTCCATCCCCCTTTGCCAGTGCCTTCCCCGTGTTCCCCAGGCCTTGGAAGCAAGGGGTAGGAGGGACTAGGACCAGCTCCATCTGGGAGGAGGGGCTGAGGGGTTCTTGACCACACAGAGTAGGAAGTGAGTTTTATCTTCAGTCCCTTCTCGCTCAGTAGATCCTGAGCAGTCCATGCCTGCCACCCTCTCTTCTCAAAACCAATTCCCAGCTGGCTGCCATGTTGGAAATAACCAGCAAGTGAGGAGCCTTGAACCTAGTGGCTCCCACTTGAAACGTTCTCCTTCAGTGATTAGGACTGGAAGAGAACTGAGAAAGAACACCCTGTTGGTGCATGTACCATCTAAATTGAAGTCGAGCACATGGGAGAAATTGTATGACCGGTGTTATGAAGCTGAAAGGAGGGAGGTTCCCATCCCAGAAGCAACCAGTCCCATCATAAGAGGCACTACTCTTGGGTCTCAGTATCCTCGTCCATAAAATGGGACAGAGGTCAGCAGGCCTGGATTTCTGTACTTGTATGGAAGGTTCTCTTCACTTCCCCTGAATAGCTAGACTGAGGCCCCAGTGGTAGGAAGACTGGTGTTGGCCTTTGACGACTAAAGGGGATGTTTGCAGTCAGGAGGGGAAGGCCTTCTTGAGATTCTTCCAGGTCCTTCAGCCTCCAGAGTGAAGTTGCCCTCCCTGGGCACTGAGGTGGACTACCTCACAGAGATATGTGGGCCAGGTGGCGAGCTCAGCTTTGAGGTCTTCCAAGGCCCTGGGCAGGCCAGAGGCAGCCTTGGGATTAACCCTAGACAGCAAGCCTGTCATTTGAACCAGTGGCCACTGCCTGCTGGTCTACCCAGAAAGTAACTGACATCAAAGAACAGACCCCTCATGTCCGGGGGCTCCATCCTCGTCACACTTGGAAGCATCTCTTCAACAGTCTAGCTCTAGCTTCCCACGCATGCTCTGTCCTTTGGTTTCATCTCTTTCACTAGAGGGTGTATGATTCCAGTGGAACTCCTGCTCACCTAGACAGCTAAACCAAACTATGAATCCTATGCTGTTTTTCTACTTGCTTTGCAAAATAAGGGCAAAATGGATCAACAGGGAGAAATTTGCCCAGTCCACTGCTAATCTGAGAAAGAGAGCTACCTGGCCACAATCCTATGCTAGAGCTAGAAATAGTCACTTTCTGAGATAACTAAGTCTGAATTAAGTATATAAATAAAACACAGGCATTAGGGGTCTCATATGTAACTTGTAAAAGTGGAACATATGAAAACCAAGGGTTTCATTTGAGGTAGATGCATATTGTCATCTTTGGAGAATAGTGGAGGTCAGGAACTTGGATCACACGTGGCCAACTGTGTGGTTTGAGTCCCAGAGCCAGCAGCTTGAAAAAAAAAATAAAAAGACATACAGGGCTTACCTCATGTATGCTTTAAAAACCCATATTGTATCTCACAAAGATGTACAACAACTAAATGTAAATAAATTATAAAATAAATCAAAATAAAATTTTAAAAGCATAGCTAAAAAAACCAATAGCAGAAATAATAGAAAATTTTTTTTTTAGTTTTTAGTGATTGTTGCACATGTGCTCATTGAAGAGAGAAGAGAGAAGAGAGAGCTAGAAACAATGAGAGGGAAAGTGAGAAATCACTCTCAAGGGGAAATGGCCACACTGCAATCCCTTCTCCTCCATTCTTCACTTGTAATTTCGGGCATACACACACATACACCCAGAGTGATTTTTCAAGCCACTGGGTCCAGGATTTGAACCATGATTGGCCATGTGAGAGTTCAGTGATGTAACCACTACACCATTTACTGGCCCCTGGAAAATGTCTTTAAATACTTAATTTATGCAAACAAGATAAGAAAGGAAGAACAGAGGAGACAAATAGAAAATGGCAAGCGGGTAGACTTATGCCAACATTAAATATAAATAGACTAAGCATTCCAATGAAAAGGTAGAGATTGTCTCACAGATTAAAAAAATAAAAAGATCCAACTATATGCGGTCTGTAAGAGATGCAACTTAAATATGAAGACATACACAGGTTGGAAATAAGAGTGGAGAAAGATAGACCATGCAAATGCCGTGCTTTAGGAAGGCTCATGTGATTTTAATATCAAAGCAGACTTTAGGACAAGGAGCATTACCAAAAATCAAGATGGCCATTTCCCAATGACAAATGTCTTAGCCATGAAGACATAACTGGGCTGACCTTGGGCAACAGCCATTTTAATAGCTGCCTGGTTAGGGGTGTGTTTAGGTTGAAATGATTTAAGAGTGTGAAGTCTATAGAACCATGCTTGTATTAGCTCTCAGTGTTACTACAGTCAGGACAAAGCCTCAAGCTGTGACCCTGGCCCAGCTTCTTCTGAGGTGGGGTTTTGCAGGCTGCTACAAGATAAGGTGTAAACACAGGCCACTAGCTGGTTCCTCCAGTTTTTTTTCTTTTTTTTTTTTTTTCCCTGGCGGTGGGGGTGTGATGGGGGGGTGGTGTGATGGTGTCCTTTGTCATGAACTTTGCAGAAAGCAAGCCTTGGGAATCCACACTAAGCTCCTCCCATTTGGGTTGTACATAATCAAATGGTGGTTGTGCTTCCTGTTTTTTTTCTTTTTTTTTTTTTTTCCCTGGCGGTGGTGGTGTGATGGTGTGGTGTGTGCATGTGTAGAGAACTAGGGCAGAGGAGTGGCAGCAATGAGACAGCATGCATCTAATGACTCTTTTTGCTGCTAGACCCAAGGTTCAAGGTCAAGGAGACTGGGGTTAGGAAGAGTGCAGAAACGAGGTGGAGTTTGAAGGATTGCCTATTGAGCCAGTGCCAGGGCGAGATGGCTCTAGTCTGACCTGGGTCATCTTCAAGCCTGAGAAGCAGGAAATGACCCCTTGCTGCAGGAAGGTAGCCAGTACCTGGCACCTGACAGTTTGCATGTCAGAAGCTAAAACCTTCTTTGGGCCTTTTCTCTAGATCACAGGAGGGGGAGAATGCCTAGTGACCTTGTCTGCCTGCTCTAGGACTCCACACCCCTTCTCCCAAGATGCTTTACTACAGAGGGGCTAGGAGTTTGTGAGGGCTGCTTCCTGGAGACCCGCTGGGGCTGAACCAGCTTTGGTGGGAGTCCTGTTACAGGAGTGGTATTCCAGCCAGGGCCATGGCAAGGCAGGTTGCCAGAGTCACTATTGTCTCTTTCTCCAGGTTTGCCACCTTCTCCACTCACAGCCCTTGCTCCTCACCTTTTATTGCCCTTCACTGCCATTCTCCTACCTGCAGTGGCCACCTAACTCTCATGCATTGGGAACTGAGCATGCAGCCACTGCATCCTCCCTGCTACTGTCACAGATAAGAGAACTGAGGGGCTCCAATGGTGTGGCCATTGTCTGGATTAGCTGAGTCCCTAGACAGTCTCTGCTAACAACTCCAGGCTCATATCCTGCCAGCTTAGCTACTCCAGCAGGAGGAAAGGGTAGTTGACAATTCATTGCACAAGCTTAGGTCATAGGCCTGTTCTTGATATCACTGCTGTGGCTGTGGGCTGGGATGAGCAGCTCTATCAGCTCTGGGCCACTGAAGCACAAAGGTGGGTAGCCCTACACAGACCACATGAACTGAGGTGCAGGTGGAGATTGAGATACCTTAGCCAGAAGACAGAAAAATGAGTGTGAGAAGGCATGAATATCAGTAGCCACTTGACTTTGTCTCTTACAGGACCTGGTAGACTGGAAAAAGCCTCTGCTGTGGCAGGTGGGCCACTTGGGGGAAAAGTATGATGAGTGGGTTCACCAGCCAGTGACCAGACCCATCCGTCTCTTCCACTCAGACCTCATCGAGGCCCTCTCCAAGACTGTCTGGTGAGCCTTGATCTGAGCCTATAACCTGTCCATCTTTCCTGATGGTGCAAATCAGATATGGAAGGGGAAGGGGCAATTGGGCTCCTCTCCAGAGCCCAGAGCTGTGTTGCAAGCTCTTGGGAAAGGTGGACCATGACATAGATAAAATCCATTTTTATGCATGGTTATGTCTGCTAATGGGTGGCAACCCATCATGTAGCCAGAAAGCCCTTCGAATTCTATCCCTGGTCCATTCCAGACTCCTGTGAGGGGTTTCCTCAGTCACTAATGTCCCATGGGAACAATTTTGCTCGCAATTAGCTCCTGTGCCTCAAGAGGTCACCATTTATCCAGCTGTAGAGAGTAACATGGCAATCCAGTTTTGAGTCCCCCCCCCCAGGTTTTTGCCATAGGGCATATGCACTAGCCAGAGAAACATCAAGAGGGAAAGTGAGAAATCATCCTCTGGGGGGTTGGCCAGGCCATAATCTCTTCTCCTAAATTCTCCTCTCTGGATTTCAGCCTTGCATCTACACATACCCAGCATAATTTTCAAGTCATCGGGGCTGGGATCTGAACCATGGTGGGCCATGTGGGAATCTAACCCCTTAACCACCATGCCACCTGCTGGCCCTGGGGATGCAGTTCTTTTCTAGCAGTAAATTATCTCAGAGACAGGGGCAGATGGACTCATAGCCTGTCTTCTCTCGTCTCTCCCTCCCACCAGTGTCCTTTGACCCCAATTGCTTTCTGTGCTCCATATACTTCCTGTGCTCCCCACCCCTGGTCAAAATACGTGTCTCTAGGGAAGCAAGTCTGTTGAACCCTTGTGCATGTCTCGCTCTCACCCTGATGACCCTTCTGCAGGTACAGTGTCCCTATCGTCTGGATGCCCCTGATGCTGTACCTCAGCTGGTCCTACTACCGAACGCTCGCCCAGGGCAACGTCCGACTCTTCACGTCATTCACAACAGGTAAGGAGCCTTCCTCACTTGTTCCCATGGATCCTGGAGACTGGAAACGCTAATGCTCTCCCTGGTCCTGAGTTGCTGAGCACACAGCACCCCAAACCACATCACAGACTTTTTCCTCTTAAAGTGTTTATTTTTTTTTTCCCTCCTTGAAATATATTTATTGGGGCCAGCAGATGGCATAGCAGTTGTGTCACTAGGCTCCCATATGGTCAACTGAGGTTTGAATCCCAGACACGGTGGCTTCAAAATCATGCCAGGCGCATATGCATGCATACCCAGGATCCCCGGAGGAGAATGGAGGAGAAAGAGTTGTGGTGTGGCTATCCCCCTTGGGGAGGTGATTTCTCAGTTTCCCTCTCACTGTCTCTGTCTTTCTCTTTCTCCCTGGCAAGTACACACACCCTATGGCAAAAATCTCTCATAAATAAATTGTCTGTCTGTCTGTCTGTCTATCTATCTATCTATCTATCTATCTATTGAAAAAGAGAACACAACCCTTGACAGAATTTTCCCACAGAGAGAGAACACAACCCTTGACAGAATTTTCCCACCACATTCCCATTCCCCACACCCAGCCCAGCAGCCAGCCAAGTTTGGGGTGCACTCAGCATGTTCAGGCAGACCTGGGATGCAAACCCAGAGCCTTCCAATGTGATCTCCAGCATCCCACAGCTGCACCTCTACTGCCTGGGCCACCACAACTGGTCCGTACAAACGTTTTTAAGTGAGGCCTGTCTGTAGCCTTCCAAAGAAAAATGTTATCTGGCTCTTAAGAACCTTCCCCAAAGAGTACAAAACCCGGCAACACATCAGCAGAAACCAAATGAAATTAGGTACTATGGCAATTTAAAAAGGTGTGCTTCTGGCTGAGCTTAATACCAGAAAATGTATGACCTAGGGGGTCAGCCCCATAGCCTGCTGGTTAAGGGAGCCAGATCCCACATGATCGACCATGTGGTTTGAGTCCTGGCCCCAGTGGCTTGAAAACATGCTGGGCACCTGTGTGTGCTTGCCCCAGATTCCAGCACGTTGGAGAAATGAAGGAAAGGGGATTTGCAGCATGTCCATGCCCCATTGCAGGGGTGTCTTCTCCCTCTCCCTATCTCTGTGTCTCAGTGTCTCTCTGGCGAGTACATCACCCTCTGGTAATAATGAAAAAAGAAAAGTAAAAAGAAAGTATATGACTCGGGAGTCCTTGTCAGGAGACTAAACGAAATGGCTTTGTCAGGCGGCACATCTGAGAGCTGGGCTAGGCCTGGGCCTAGTCCTTGTCTGTAGCTTGGATGGCAGGAAACCTGGAGAGAAAGGCCCAGCAGTGTCCCAGAGTGTCTTCCAGACAGAGGGCTGTGCAGCAGAACCCAGACTGGGGACAGCAACCACTGAGCTCTCTGCACACTTACCACGCGCCAGGCCATGTGCTCCCGGGGACTGCCCAGCAGCCCCGTGAGAAAGGGGCTGTCGTTCTTTCTGGTTAGAGATGATGAGATGGAGGGACCAGCAGTTGGTATAATGGCTATGTCGCTGGACTCCCACGTAGTCGACTGTGGTTCAAGTCCCGGACCCGGTGGCTTAAACTCATGCCAGTCGTGTGTGCGTGCATGCCCATGATCCCGAGAGGAGAATGGAGGAGAAGGGATTGTGGTGTGGCCATCCCCCCTGGGGGGTGATTTCTTGCTTTCTATCTCTCTGCTCTCTCTGTCTGGCTGGCGAGCGCACGCGCCCTATAGCAAAAACCTCTCCAAATAAAAAAGAGAGAATGAGATGGAGCCCCAGAGATTGAAGTGAGTGATTCAGGGTCATGTGGCCAGCCAGTAGATACCAGGTGCCCCCGCTTCTAGCAGGGCAGAGGGGACAGAGAAGGGCTGGCATGGGGTGACACGCAGGGCCTGTGTTTCTGATGCAGCCGTTCCGCCAGCCTGCCTCCCAGGCACCCTGCTTTTCCTGGGCTTCCAGGTCCATGCCACTGCCCACGTGTCTGTCACTGTGGTCTGCCCTGCCTCGGGGCGGTGCTGGGAGTTAGGTGCCTGTCAGATGGGCGTCTCTGGTACCACACATCCCTGGATCTGGGCCTCCGAGTCCTTCTCGCCCCGCCAGGTGCAGCCTTCTCTTCCGCACACAGGAGACTGTTCTGCCTCTCCCAGGAGTGGCAAGTCGAGAGCCTCATGGTCTAGATGACAGGGGCCAGGACTGCAACGTTGGGAGGCTCAGTTTATCCTCTTGACCCGGAATGGGATGGAAGATGAACAAGCCACAGGAAGTCAGCGCAGCCCAACCCAGCCCAGAGCTGCTCCCGGCCACCGAGGGGTACTGTGTGCACCCCCACAAGCTAAGGTTACCCTCTTCTGCCCACGCTGAATAGCTCAGGCACAGCACAGGGCTTGTTGCTCAGAAGGCCGGCTCACTGAATCGCCCACTGTCCGCCCGGCGCTCCCCTAACAATCACCAACAGTGGCAGGGCCGCCAGGGCTGGCGGGCCTGAGGGGGAAGGGGACACTGAAGCTTTGGCTCAGGTCCCTCTGCTGGATTCCTCCAGAGATGCCACTCAGTACCAGCTCCGGCCGGATGGGCAGACAGGGGTGATGCTGGGGTGAGGAGGCGGGCGGAGGCCTGACCTATCGGAGCAGACTTCCTGCAAGCAGGGAGGGAGATTGGGGGGCTCCTGAGCACCACAGGCCTCTGCAGAGAGCTCAAATGTGCCTGTCTAATAAAGACCCAGTGTGGAGGGCTCGTAACCACCAGTAACCACGAGGCAAGTGATAGTGGCATGAGAGACGCATCCCCTCACGCCTCCCTCTCCGCCAGCCCATCATGCCAGGCACAAGTCACAGGCTGAGAAAATAGTGACAGAGACTCGATGAGGTTCCAGTGCAGCTGCTGGACCAAGGCCATGCCAGGGTAAATGCTGAAGATACTTTCCAAAATACTTGGAAAAGCCGAAGGGGTCCTACACATTCAGAGGAGCCCCTGAGAGCAGGTGAGAGCGAGTGCCAGCCCACCCATTGCTCAGCCGCATCCTGATTGAGGGTGTTCTGGGAACCCTGGCCAAGGCCAAGACCAAAGTCCGCCACCAGGGAGCACTCCTGGGTGTCCAGTGCTTTCCCTGCTGACCAGAGGGCTGACCTGGGCAGGAGAGAGGCCCTAGGGCACCCCTTTCAACTGGGGACCCTCTAGAGCTCTGCCAGGAGACTCAAGAGGAGACTCAAAAATAGGATTGCCAGTTGGGACTTTGATGTCTTTTTACTCATTATAAATAAAAATTATTCGGACCAGCAGATGACATAATGGTGATGTCAGTGGATTCCCACATAGTTGACCATGGTTCGAGTCCCAGACCTGGCGGCTTAAAAAAAAAAAAAAAAAAACTCATGCTGGGCATGCATGTGCATGTCCAAAACGCCAAAAGGAGAATGGAGGAGAAGGGACTGTGGCAAGGTCATCCCCCCTGGGGGGTAATTTCTTGCTTTCTGTCTCTCTCTGCCTCTCTCAGAGAACACAGGCACCCTATAGCAAAAATCTCTCAAAAAAAAAAATTATTGTAGCAGGGGCCAGCAGGTCGTGTGGTGGTTAAGGACTCCCACTTGGCCGACCACGGTGAGAGTCCCAGACCTGGTAGCTTGAAAATCATGCTGTATACGTGTGCATGTATGTCCCAAATTCTAGAAGCTGAATAGATGTGGCCATCCACCTGGACTGGCTTCTCACTTTTCTCTCTTGGTCTCTCTTGCTGTTTCTCTGGCAAGAGAATGCACCTTATGGATAAAGATATGTATGTATGTATATGTGTGTGTGTGTGTGTGTGTATGTGTATATATACACATATACACATATATATGTGTGTGTATGTCTCTATTATATATACACATGTATTTCTCTCTATATAAAATATGTACACATATACACTATAGAGTATACTATATATACCATGTATTATATAATATTTATGTAAGTATTAATATAT